AGAGAGAGAGAGAGAGAGAGAGAGCGAAATTTCCTTCCGCGAGAAAATGAGCGGTCTGATGAACTCGGTCTTGAATTACGTAAAAAACGAAACGAAACGAAACGAAAGAAAAAAAAGAGAGAAAAATTGGAGAGAGGGTAAAACGTTGCGTCGTATACTTGTTGTTTGGAAATGTTTGGTTACAACTTTTATATAATTCGATTATGCAATTCGCAGATTTTGCGATATATATATATGTATGTATAACTGGAGGATAAAGAATCGAGTTACGGGCTAATAAGTTAGTTCAACTTGTACGTGAAAGCATCAAATTTTTTTCTTTTTTCTTTTTTTTTTTTGAGAAAAATTATCTTATGAATATGAATATTGTTTCGTGTAATGTTATATTTATGATTATTTAAAATCTTTCGTTATATATAAAATCGAATTATTAGATTTATCTAACACGGCTATATCTAACAATAACAAATTTAGATATTAAAATTATGCTTTGATGAAAAAATTGAAGAGGAAATTCTATGTTTCAGAGATTTATGAGGAAATATATCGATTTTTTTTTTTTTTTAGCTTCGAAAATGAACGAATACACAGATTAAATATTCATCGTCGTATAATTGAAGTTAGCCGATAATTTGAATAATGTTTTATCGATTATTTTACTGCAAAAAATTGCGGATTGCAATATGAGTTACACTTCAACGTGGAATTCGATTGATTAAATACATCTTGGTAAAGGAAAAAAGATCGTGAACAAGATATATCGAATTTGTTCGTATCGATATGTAAAGACGTAATTTTATATATATTTTTGCAAGACAATTAAAAATCGTGAATCGATATTTATAAAAGTGGGGAAGAAAAACCGTAAACCGTTACGATATAAACTATAATTTCGATATAAACGATTAAATTGTTAATATGTAACGACGTATAAATTTTTCTTTTTAAACAAGCATTATACAAGCATCATAGCCTCACCCTGTGTAAGTGGTTAAACGATATCATAACCTTATCAGAGGCTGGTTTCACGCCGATAGTAACCTACTTCTTTGCATCGCACGCAACGTTTCTCCGTCCCTATTATCTTCACCTCTTCGTCCTCTCGAGCTTCCTTGATATCATTACGGTCGTCACGATCATTGTCTCCCCCCGATCTATCCTCCTCGTTCTTTTCTGACATTCCGTGTCCACGATCGAAGTAAATGGAAACAGATGCGAGAAGGGAGCAAGAGAAGGAGATCGAGAAACAAGGGAGCGACGAAAAATTAAATGACTTTCTATCCGGTATCGAATAATAACATTTCAGAATAAAACTCTTAACGAGAAATTATTGATTTTACAGCTCAAGGTTCGAGGCGAAAATCTCGAGAATCGCGCCGAAGAGTACTTATTCTTGAACATGGACGTTGGATCGAGAATAAAAATTATTCGTGTTCAACGTGATATCCACCCCAAAATAATTATTGAAAGTTGTTGAAAACATTCCATTCTCGAATATATATTTTATATGCTACGTGTAGACCCCCCATGTCTGAAATTTTATTTTATTACGTTACGTGTCGAAGTGATATTTTTATTCTTAAATAATCTTAAAGGGGAAAAAGGAGAAAATAAACAACAAACGAAAATCATCATTTCGGTTTAGTCATGGGTTTATCTTTGATCGCTTATGCAAACACAGGCGTGGCTATCTTCCAAGGTAAAACTCTACGTCTCCATTAGATTCGAATGAATAATACGATCTCGTTGTGATTTCACAATTGAGAATGCAATCGAGTAATTTGATTGGTAGATTATTATTTGTAACGCAATCGATATTGTGCATATCTCATTGGAAATATATGGTTCGGTGAACAATAATAATATCATTGATTTCGCATTTGATTTAGATTTCTAAATAATTTTTTCAAATTAAATTTGAAACGATGACCCTACGAACGTAAGGATAAACATCTCCATTGAATTTTGAAGATTACAAGAGAATTGTTTAATCTTCATTTCGAACTTATTATTTATATATCTTTCACTTCCACTATCAATCTTCGAAATCTTAAGCATCTCTTAATCATCTACATTATATTTAAATTCATATTGCATGCAAATTTTATCAATGTCTTATCATTTTTGATTGATATGCATTCGATCTTAATTAACCAATCATCGTACACTTAATTGCGAGACTTGCGGCGACGCTGGTGTGCTTTATTGGCCCCTTAAAAGGGAATAAAACTTGCAGCGTATGCTGAAAACCGAGGAAGTTTAAGCTGATAGAAATAATTAAAGTGCGATCGTGGTAGTTTTAGCGTATTAATCAGAGCGCTAAGAAAGATTCGTATTCATGTTATTGCATTGAGTACGCGATTGTGCGTGCGTACGTGTTGGTAACAGCGTGTTCCAGCCAAAAGTGTGCAACTGCTCGCTCGTCTGTAAATTCATAAATAATTATCTCGATATTCGTGAAACGATCTAGACCATTGTAAGTGCGGGCTAATTAATTAGAATATAAAATGAAGTAGAATAGAGTTCGCGAGTAGCGGTTCGAAGAGGATCCCCTCTCGGATATTTGTTAAAATAACACCCTGTTAAAAATCTGGACCAAAAGGGAGGGGAAAAAGAACGATATTTTTCCGTGGATTGTAGGATTGTTATTGAATTTATCGTGAAGTTGTTGCAGATAACAAAGCTTGGTACTGTGATACATTTATAAATGCAACAATTCTCCTCGAGACTTTATCTTGGACACGCGTTTAAAGCTTATCTAAATTTCGATAATAACGATAAAGGTTGTATTAAACGATATCTAATGACTTTATTCTTTTGAATTTTAATAAACTTTGCAAACGATTTTGTGAGATTTATTTAATTGCATATCTAATCCTTTTTGGCAATTTCTCGTTTCAGAATATTCAGAGACGATCGAATATCCTTCAACATCTCTCGAGAAAATCTGCAAAGATCGAAGAACTTCGATCAAGAATTCTTCGGTAAGTAGAGAAATTAATATTCCATGCGTAAACAATGGTGTTTAAATGATAAAAAAATTCGAATTTCATCGATGAAATCGCGATTCTTTCGTCCTCTTTCCCAACATTCTCCTCCACCATCAACGCCAGGGGGGCGAGAATTTCAGTGGAAACTCCTTAGCAGCGGTCAGACACGATTCGTTTCGAATTTCCAAAATTGCCACGAACTCTTCACATATAGAAAGAGAAGAAAGGAAGCACGAGGCTACGTGTATGCAAATATCGTGGTTAATTGGTAAACAATTCGAATATAACTTCAAAAAAATATCAACTCTCAACATTTGTTTGTAGTTTGGAACGCAAAGAGAAGCGCGTGTGGTGCATTCTTTCTTTAACCGCGATTCGATTCTTTCGAGGATTGGAATTTTCGGAATGTCCAAATTGAAATTCTCGAGATGCCAAAAATTCCATTGCAACCCGTCGAAAAACTTGGATCAAAAGAACTTAGGGCGATATTTCAACGGGACGAGTATTAAGAAAAATGGAGTATAATAGAGGTATCAAGTGAGAGATATTAAATTGAAATGGTGGATAAGATATATAAGAAGAGAGCGTTGATTCTTTAAATAATAAATTAAAGCCAATTAAATAAGTGATAAAGGAAAGATAGAGAAAAGAGGGGAAAGAAGGAAGGCACGAGGTTTGTGAGAAACATGGCTGAAATTCGTGTATATATGCAAATGTCATGTTTTCCTCGCGAAACGCTCATGCAATATTAAAAAGGAATCGGTTAATTGAGACTCCCGTGGTCTTCTTAATTAGGGAAATTCAGATTCCCAGCTTTTCGTTCCTTCCAGATTATTATTATCTATTTGCAAAATCTGATATGTTGCTTCCTCTTTTCATGGTGATAGGATACGTACTTTAATTTCGCCTAAAAAAAAAAAAAAAGAAAAGAAAAGAAAAAGAAAGAGAGAAAGAAACAGAATTCTATTCTATTATTGATAATTTATAATTGCTCTTTCTTTTTCGTGAAGAAATACATTCCCGAATATCGATTATCTATCCAAAAAAAAAAAAAAAAGCTCGAAGATTTTGCGGCAAAAGGGGAATTTTTAACAGTTTTTTAAATTATTACGTGTAATCTAATTAAAAAAGAAATTCTTAAGCTGAAAATAAAAAGCAACCGATTTACCTAGCGGAGATTTCAGACCGTTTTAATAAAATAATAAAAATACAAATCGAAACCTTCTCCCGCAACGCGAAACACTGCTTATTGATAAAATAATCCATGGAT